CAAGTACTCGTTACCTGGCAGCTCCCGTGACTGTTCCTCCCCCACGGAGCTACCAACATGAATGAGGCAGTCTTTCCATCTAGAATTTTCTGAAAGCTAAGATAGACTTCCAGCCAATGATGAGAACTGCCTGCACACGGTCAATGGGGAACACACATAATAATGCAGCCCCTTCCCCTGCCCTGCGTGGCCATGGGTTTATTAAAGTGACTTTGCGCTTATTTTATCAGAAGGTGATCTACACTCTAAAAATGTAAGTGTGAGCAAACGTGATTCATTATGTGGAAAACAGTAGCATCTCCCCACTGATGCCATGATCCACTCACTCACCTTGGGCTCAACGCTAAACCACACTTGGGTGCTGCGTGAGCACACAGCATTCAGGGTAAGATGCATCACAGCAAGGACCAGAGCCAGGAGAGGTCCCCTGTCCAGAATCCTCACAAGATGTTCCGTCAGAGTCTTTGAATGTTCTATTGGTCTCATGTACAGTGATGGCTCTGAGTCTCCATAAGACCATGTTTCCAAGTTCCTATCATCATACCCAACACGAACGAAGCAGTTATCCCCAATTAGACACAACAGTGGACCCGAAGCACGTCTGAACTTCATGCCCGTGTATATCCCGAAGGGGCGAAACCGCAGAGCTGGCTATAATTGCAAGGCCGAGATTTGCCACGAATCAGCAAAGCCCTGCAAGCTTTTAAAGGCCTTTTCTAGGAATGATTTCCGAAACAGTATTCCAGTCAACTCAGAGAACTGAGTGGTCCCTGCTTATGCAGGGAGGGTGTTCCAAGCCCCATAGTGGCCTGAAGCTACCGTACCGAGCCCCATACATCCAGTTTTATCCTATACATACAAACCTTTTCTCTTAAAAGAAGTACTTTAAGGCTCTTCTTTGAAATATTAAATAGACAGCATCACTACTCTTGGGCTTTGGGGCCATTATTAAATAAAATTAATTATTTGAAGACAGTGTCAATCTGATGACCATGACGACCACTTAGCATGTACAGTGGGGACACACTGGACAAAGGGATGTTCACATCCAGGAGGCACAGAATTCATCCGGCTAGTCAGAATTGCGCACAATTTAAAAGTGATAAACTGTTTATTTCTGGAATTTTCCCTTTAGTGTCTATACAATTGACCTCGGGTAACTAAATCCGTGCAAAGCAAAACTGCATAGAACTTGGGACTATTGTAGCGACAAAACATTCTAAAGATAAAACTGTGACATTCTGGTTCATGCTCCCTCCTGGCATCATAAGGGGGTTATTTAGCCCCACTTTCTCCCAGTGTCTGGAGAGTTTTAGACGTGACCACTCAGTTCTCGCCTGGCGAGGCTGCGGCCGGTGCGTGGGTAGCAGGGGACCAGACCCGCGGGGTGAACGGAAGTAACTGGGCACGAGCCCTGCTGAACGAGGCCAAGCACCGTGCCCAGCAGGTGCACTCCCTCCCTGGGGACAGAAGGGGACCAAGGCTGGCTAGAGCAGCTCCCTCGCCTGAAAAGGACCGATTTCGATCAAAGTTCACTGGCTTTTCTGACAGTGAACCAAACACAAAGTCGGATAGAGAACATTGGCCTATTTCTGCGTCTAAATGGACCCTTTCCATGACCTCTTGCCATTCCCTCCACCACAACTCATTGCCACCGTGTGTGTGTCATGTCCCCAAACGCAACGGGAAGGAGGAAGAGAAAGGTTTGATCGGATCTTCTTATTCCACCTGTACAATGGGGGGACTAGGAGCCCCTCCGCTACCTTCTCTGAGTTCTCACCCCCCTTTTTACTCACCTCCATTGTGGGGGGAGGAAGTGGCCACTGTCTCCTATGTGCCACCTGCACATCCACATCCCCTCCTCAGTCCTCACAGCCAAGACTGCCACTCCCGCTCTCCGCCATCCCACTGCATCAGGTGTACCCACCCTCGGACTGTCACCCTGGGTGGCCACGACACTTTTACCCCCTCCATTCCAGCTCCTTCATGACTTCATTATTCACAGTGACCCAAACAATGCCACCCAAGGACCCCGCTCCCTGAAGGTCTGGTTTGATCTACGGGGGAAATGTGACCTATCCAAGGACAAACTGGACTCCACGCCCTTGAAGCAATCTTTCTACTTGTATTATTCTCACACATAGGCTTTGGAAAGAACTGGAAAGCAAAGTGCAAGGTTGTAACCTTTGGCAAGCATTTGAAATGCAAATATTTTATATAGAACAACACTTTGACAACATGATGGAGATGTAATATCTCCCCATTAGTTAGGGCTCAAGCTTTTAAAGTTCTCCAGAATCACAAACTGGCCTTCCTCGGCCATTCCAATATGATTTTCCACTCTTTCCCCAAAGAAATTGTCTACTGTGATCTATTTTTTCCTCCCATGATCTTAATCATTATATGTAAGAGTTTCGAAATATCTAATTACTATCTCATCACCTACATCATTGTTTTACAAGCATCCAAAAAATTTCCATCCAAAAGTACAATATACACCATGTTAAATGTCTATAATCACGTAAGTAGTAAACAGAACAGTGCGATTCCTTAGCCCAATATGTAACTTCTAAGAGATAAGAGTTTAAGAGCAGCAGTCTGGAGCGCTTCGAAATTCAAATGTTACCGTGTCTGCTGCTTTACTAAACTAACACTTCAAAAGTTTCACTTGGGAAAGTCATGTTTTCTCTTTGTTAACTAACTTATTCTTCCTTTTGAGAATCCAAAGAGCTGCTGGATCATGCAAGTTGGCGCCACTGGAGTAAAGAGTTTTGGTTGTTGTTTCTTTTACCATTCTGACCCAATAATATTTGCTGGCAAAGACTCTCCAAAACTGGCAAGAGCTATAAATTAGATATTTGAACTATTCTCCCTAGTTGTACAATAGAGCTGTCCAACTTTCCAGTACTAAAATGCTTTCACTTGTAAGACATGTCTTCGGGGACTAGAAAATTTGCCTCTAAGTCAGATGAACACATGGGTTATGAGTTATTAATTACACAGAAAAGTCTATGGGATCAGATAAATTGAACTAAACCCTGAAGCGGACTGAGGCATAATATTTCCCATATTTGCGTTGGATGAGAAAACAGCAAAATCTAAAAGTCAGGGTGGTCATGACTTGTACAGAGTCAGAAAGGCCAAGGCCCACTTTCCACGTCCACTACCAAACACCGCACTGCTACCCTCTGACCCAGGAGAGGCCTGAAATCTCACGGCATGAGAGACTAGTCCTCTCCATTCCAACCCCTAGGAAAAGAGTCACAGCATGATAAAAAGATTTCTATGCCAGAAATGGTCCAAAGTTACATCGACCGGTAGACAGAAACATATGTCTACCGTATAAAAACGTATGCATGGACTTCTACACGCGTTCCTTAGCTGAGTAACTTAAACACAAATTCCCAATTGAAGACAAACATTAAAAAATCAAAGGACGGTTAATAAGGCCTAAAAGACAAATCAACAATAGCATTTCACTACCTAAATGTAATTCCTTTTTTTTTTTATACCAGACTATAAAATAAAATGGAATAAAAAAATACTTATACTTGAAGATCAAAAAGATATAGTGAACAATACAAGAATAAAAGTAAGTCATATCTTACCGGTTTTATGACTGATCAGAAAAGGAGGAAGAATAAATTAGATGCATGAAAATTATGCTTATTGATTTTAGACATCACCATAATTCATAATCTAAGACCGCCAACCTTTTGGAGTATTGATTTAAGAAATTATGTCTTAAAAAAAAAAACCTTCAAATAGTTTTACCAAAAAGTAAAATAAAACCAACTTGAGCATAAAATTTCAATTCAATTAATACAAATGGATTACAAAGGATTACTGAGTATCAAAGAATGAGATAATCCTAAATTTTAAAAACATTTACTATAAATGATGAAAATCAATTCATAAATCCAAGAATAATTATTTTTGGTTTAAACCAAATACAGGAATTTCCTCAAAAAAAAAAAAAAAAATCCAAGTTGCTGCTTTCCAGGTATATCTACAACTACTTTGAGAAAAGGGGCATAAAGACACTATCTACTTTCTTCTAGTGGAACTTTCATGATATAGTTCAGTCCTGAGGTTACTTATAACTGGAGCCACATTAACAAATTGCCTTTATCCCTCAAAAATTAAAAAGGAATCTTTTCTGCTTTAAAACACACACACACACACAATCTTTTTTTTTTTCTTTATCCTCACCCAAGGACATTTTTGCATTTATCTTCAGATAGAGGGGGAGGGAGAGAGGGAAGAAGAGAGAGAGAGAAACATTGATGTGAGAGAGACACATCGAGTGGCTGCCACCTGCAGGACCCCAACCGGGCTGGGGACAAACTGCAACGGAGGTACATGCCCTTAGCGGGAACCGAACCCGGGACTCTCTGGTCCACAGGCTGACGCTCTAACCGCTGAGCCAAACCGGCCAGGGCCACACACAAGATCTTAACTGCAGGCATAGCAAAACTGAAATTAATTACCAAACCAATAAATATTGTAAATTGTAAACTCAGTAAACATGAGAATCAGAGTAAAATATCTTTGCACCAGTTATTTCTTTTTCTGGTTTAGAGAGTTTTCATGTGTTAATAATTGTTTCAAGAAACTCACTGCCAGATTAGTAATACAGAAAGACATATATTCTAAGTACCCATCACACATTCAACCTACGTAGAGCTTTTGGCAATGTAGGAGTCACAAAGAAAACCTACACTCTTATTGCAAAAAGACATGATCTGTACTGGTGCTTACCCCAGGAGGTAGTTTAAAAAAAAAAAAAAAGTGACACAATTTCTCTGAAATGTGATCAATTACACAAGACCTCAAAGCACACTCTGCTTTGGAAGAAAAAAAAAATTCTTGTGAACCATTAAGACAGATTAATTCCATCTATTTTATAGTAGCAAGTTTTCCCCGGATGTTAATAACAAGCAGAGATGTTCAATGTTAGCATTTTGTCGCCAGAGACAAATGCTACATCACTGTGCAAACATAACGAACTCATTTTATTAGGCAAATAGTTGAATTCCATTCAAGTGCACTTAGTACAGTACTACACATTATAAATTGATTGAAATTAAAGAGATCACCGATTAGAAATAGGGCTTTAAAAAAATACAACTAATACTGATTTCACATTATGTTTCATTGGTGTTCTGATGAAACATACAAAGAGAATGACTGTTTCTAGCATCTTTGGGCAATCACTTAGTCCTTTAATGTATTAAAATAGAAGTGAGAAAATACACCCCTGAAATCTACAATTGAAAGTACAGTTTGAAAAACTGAAACCAATTTGATATGGGTGATTCAGATTACAGTTAAAGGTCAGGAGCTGATACAAGTTTCAAATTAGTCACATTTGTTGCAAAACCATTACAGGTGCCTCTAATGTTTAATCTGTGTCAGATTTTTCAGATCTGTGTTTGGTTAAGTCTTCAAATCCTAGACTTAATTTCTTAAAACATTGCTAGTTACTGAGCAGGAATTTTTAAAAATCCAAATGGATTATACTGAAAATGAGGTTCTTCTTTTCTTCTTTTATAAAATACTTTTGATTCATAACACCAAAAAAATATACACAGAAAGACATTTCAAATTTTCAATCCTTTTTAAAAAGGCTCTTTAAAAAAATTTCCCTGCATTTGCTTCGCTTTCTTCAGGGTCTTCTTTTTCTTCCAAGAGCTTTGCTACAGCTACATACTGTTTATATCGATACCTTCATTGCCTGTTCCCACAATTAAAGAGGTGGCTTTGTTAGACAACAGCTTGACCTTTGAAATCTACTTCTGGTAGGATTCTCGAACTTTCGACTGTAGGGCATCACATGTCTTCTTGGCATCGCCCAGAAGCATAGCTGTGTTCGGTTTGTAGAAGATTGGATTGTCCACGGCAGCGTAGCCAACACCCAAGGACCTCTTCATAACAATGACCTAAGAACGGAAGATGAAGTGAGAGACTGTGTGTGGCAGACATGGCTAGGCAGGCACGTACCACACTACCAATTCTTTAGTTCAGAGACTAAAAATACTCAAGGAGTATTTTTTAACGCACATTTCTATTGTATTAACTTCAATTTTTTAAGCTTCTACGACAAATGTAAAATACATGTAATTGAGTGGGAAATGGTATCATTCCTATTGCATCACTTTAAGGTAAAGTACATCAGCAAGTGCTAACACAGAAGCCCAAGGAACAATCCAGCCTGTCACAGGAGAGAGCTAGTAACTACTATTATGGTCCTACAGAGAAAAATGGAAGGTAAGCCATCTCTAACCCTGACAGACAGTGACAGCTACGCGGATGACGGCTGGCGCCGCCCTGTGGAACATCAAGCCAGTTCTCAGTGAAGCGAAGAGCCTTCGTGCGGTCCTCTGAGCTCCCTACCGTCTGGCGGTTCAGGAGTGCGGAGCTCGCTTCCTCGTGCTACGTTGTCATCCGGATTTCCACGCCACCTTCCTTCCAGACACCCCATAACAACATGCAAACTCCCTTTCGGTGACACTAAACGAACAACTGTGCCGGTCGTCACCCACGAAGGTGACAGTACTGACGCACTGGCCCAGAGGGAGGCATCTCTTCCAGGGACTTGTCCTGGCGTCCGGCCAGGCTCATGCCAAAGCTCTCATTTCTGCTGTCGTTACAGACTTCGTTATTCCAGACAGCCCCCCAGTTCCACCCGTGCCCGGGGCCCTCATTCAGATGCTCTGGTGACCTCAGAGCAGACAGGACCTGAAACATACTCTACAGAACTCCCGGGCCTCCTCAAACCTTTGTCACTTCTCATCAAGTGACCCAGGAAAGTCCTGGGTGTGTGCATTTTAAGAGAGTTTTGATCACTCGTATGAAGCCCAAGCCTGAAACTTTACCTGCTTGGATTTCCAGACCTCGAGAACTGGCATGCCTGCAATAATAGAGTTGGGGTCTTCCTGAGCGGCTGAGTTGACGGTGTCATTAGCTCCAATCACAAGGACCAGATCAGTGTCTAAATAATGAAAGGAAAAAGAGAAAATATGAAACTCAACAGAGTCACTTTCACTTCTTTACAGGCAAATGCGAGTGATCTGACTTTATAACAACAATAATCACAAACGCTAATATTTATAGGACCCACCCTTGTGCCAGGCACTGTACAAGGAGCTTTATCAGAGAGGGTCAGTAACTTAGCCGATGTCACACAGCTAAGAAGCAACAGGCCTGCGTCTCACCTTGGCATCGGACTGGTGTTCACATCATTATGTTTTCCTTGCCCACGGTGGATCTACCTAATGTGACTTAATCAAGTTCTTTCATTATCCCAAAACAATCTCGCCAGTTACTTTATTTTATAATATTTGCATTCCATTTTCAACTTCTAAAATGACCACTTAAATGCAATCTCATGTCTAAAAGAAAATGGTCTACGAGTCTGTACTATATTAAAGGTTTGTCCATAATTCCTGGAACCGGCAGTTTTCGTACATGATACAGCAAAATCTGAAAGGAGGCATAAAATTCAAACGGCCTAAATCCCCCCTATAAGCGCTATAATATGAACTACCTTAGGATTTTGCCAAAATGCCACGTGAATCCACACATACACGTGATTTCATTATTTTTCTCTAATAAACAGATTTCCCCTGGGTTTACAGTGGGTACTTGCCAGAGGGAACTGGTTTAATTTTAACGAGCATGATCTCGGGCCAAAGGTCATTCGCCTGCAGCAAATGCCCGGGTCAGCCGTCCAGGACAGCACCTTATCTAGGGAAGTCCTCGTTCTTCACAGAGAACAGAAAACTGCTTGGCTAATCGTGAGTTGGTACAACTGGAAACCAGTAATCACTGCAGAAATCAGACACTGAATTATCAACAGCAGTTTTACAAATGAGGAACCTGGGGGGGGGGTCACTAGTACATGGTCACAGAGCGAGAGTCAGGGCCTGGATTCCACAGCCAGGTGTGTCCCGGGCCACGCACCCCCCTGCCTCGCCTCCCAGGATCCACCCCACCCTCCAGCTCCCCTCCCGGGAGAATCACCCGTGCTGCCTACTCAACCTATTCAGCACCGTTTCATTTATTTCATTTCAAATGCGTCCCCCCTCTTCTTCTGATGAGTAGGTCTTCCGTGACCCCACACTTTCTGTCCGAAGACTAGCATGGCTTGACTCACGCTCAGAATATTTCCGTGTCACCGTCGGCCTCATTGCTTACCTGGGAAATCGTGGTTGATCTCGTCCATTTCTAACACGATATCATATGGCACCCCAGCCTCAGCCAGCAGCACATTAAGCTGGCCAGGCATCCTGCCTGCAACTGGGTGAATTCCAAACCTGGACATGAAACAAACGAACAGCTGGCCTTACTGGATGGGCCAAAATGTACAGAGACCCCAATATCACCTCCCAGTCGGCACTGTTTGTCCTTGGCACCTCTGCTTCTCCCGGTACTATCTCGTCTCTGCAGGCAGGGACAGAGTTAGCCCCGCCACGTGGTCCATTTGCAAGTACTGAAGCAGGAGATTCGGTGTCTCAGTATACACAAGCTAGAACGCCCCTCCGAAAAATAAGCAGAAGCTCCGAACCAGACTCTTCGTTCCATATTTGAAGTACAAGGAACTTCCAATAACGTCCACATGTAATGTCACCTTACCCGTCACAAGCACTGAGCTCTTTCATTATCCTTTCGGATATAGCTTGACTCTTTCAAAACTTATGTAAGTTAGCATGGCATGAGACATCTGCCATGAAAAACCAACATTATTCCATCAGAAGCTGAAGCTGACTCTACGTTCAACTTTCACCTCTGTGTTCAGAAGAGGGGAAACAGAACCTTGGCTGGTACAGACGTCCATGGCCTACAAACTCTCAGAGTGATGGGCAGCATCACCCCACGTCACAGAACACGTACGGCAGCAGCGTGCTGGCGTGTTTCAAAGGCAGAGAAATACACAAGTCCGAGCTCCACACTTTATCAAGGGAACAGACAACGAAGCAGCAAGCAATCTCTTTCAGCCACAGCTATAAGGGATCTTTGAAGTCGTTTGATCCAACCTCTTAGCCACCACATTGATCTCTGTCTCCTCAGCACTGGGCACAGCCCTGTCACATAGGAAGGGCTCAATAAAAAGCGAGTGAGTGAATGAACGAATCCAGTGAAGAAATGCATTTTATAGCATGTCTTGGCAGATTCCATCCAGCCTCAGTTTAAATACGTTCAATGACCAGAAACGTACTCCTCCCAAAGGTCTATTGCATTACTAGACAATCCTGATAATTACATGTAGCGCACACACACACACACGCATTACATTACAAGGAGATGGGAGAAGCCCCCATCTCATTGTTCCCCAAGTACTGCAGTTTTGCCCTCTGGAGCCAAGAGCCTGCTCCCTCTTTCAGACGTGGACCCCTGTCGGCTATCCTAGGATGCCGACTAAGCAAAGCATCCTCAATTCTTTCACCTATTCAATGGCCAACAGGATGTCCTAGCTGCCTGTTGCTACCTCCACTGTCAATGTCCAGCTCAAACCTCAGGCCCCCAAGGTGAATACAGTATGCTGGGTGGGATCGAGATGCACAAGGCCCAGCGAGAAAGTCACGTCCTCGGCTCTCGTGTCGTTGAAGCCTGGGACGGCAGGGGCGTTTGCAGCCAGCTCGGCACATCGCTCCCCTGCAACACTGCGGCCAATGAAGATGCCCCGATACTGACGCAGCAGTGCCAAGCCAGGCCCCCCCTCGCCACTCCTCACACAGGTCCTGTTCAGAACAGGTGACAGCTTAAGAACCGTACCCTCAACAAACAGACCTGAAAAGGGACGTACAATGAATGGCCCTTTATATCACCCAAATAACTGATAAATGGTTTTCTACACCTTTAACACTGATCACGAAGAACCTGAGTTACTGGAAGGCTTATCATTGGGGTGAAAAGAAAGACATCAAGTGGCAGGCATTCTCTTCTACCAAATTCCCTTTACATAACCTTCCTTGTGGGGGTCCCTGAATGTTCCTGAAGAACCAAATTACGTTTAAAAAAATGAAACTCAGGCTAAAAGGGAACAAAACAGTTATCTCTAGGTGGCATACAACAGATCATCACTTTATTTCTCCTCTTTTCAATATTTTCCTATGAGAATGTACAGTTTTAATTAACTTCATTTAAAATAAATTAACACTTCATGCTCTTACGTTGTGATATGCCTTATAAGTGATTTCTCATATGTTATCCCATTCTATCCCTAACAGTCTCCATCAAGAATTAGAATTAAGGGCAGCTGATGCCAATCTAGTGCCTAGTCAAGCACACTGGGTTTTAGAGCTACAATCCTACAGCTAGAAAAGTGAACGAGAACGCACACCGAGGGGCTGGCGTGGATTCTGACACGCTGGCTAACACCGACTCTTTAGGGATGTACTACGCAATTTGTACAACTTTTGTAGTAAATGGTTAAGCTGGGATTCAAACTTAGGTTCTTCTACCTCAAGAGTCTGAACTGTTAACTACTATGCGATATAGTCAGAGGAGTCGAGCAATTTAAGAGATGATTTTGTTTAGTTAACAGCTCAGGTTAACTAGCTGTGTAATGTTGGGCAAGTTATTTAATGACTCTCTCTCTGTCTTCGTTTTCCCATAGAATAGTAACCAGCTATTATTATAAGCTCACATCATGCCTAGGGTTATAAAAATTCTATGTAGAAGAGGTGTATGAAATGCCAATTTATCTCTGTTTGAATGGATGAAATAAGGAGTTCCAAGAATCCAATTTGTAGTGTGCTTTGAGAAAACCTGAGAGCCAAGAATTGTTCAGCAATGCTACAAGCTATTAAGAAAATTAAATATTTGCATAGACAAAGAGACACAGGAGAAAAAAATGTGTCTCTTTGTATGTAAAGTACCAACAATGTAAAACACTGACCAGCACTTCTTAAATGCTGGGGAAGTAGATACTGAAAAAATTACCAGATGTGGGAGGTAGAAATGAAGTGAATAAAATGAACTAGTAATAATCCAAGATTCATTTTAAAAGAATTTCTCCCCTCTCCCCTCAGTGGGCTATCTGTAGTCTCATTTTAATGAAAATAAAATTAAAGACAGTCATCAGTTTCCTCTAAACAGTGCTCCCCAACCTCACCATCTCATCAACTTTCCAGTTCTTCAACCATAATTTCTCTTGTTATTTTGGGGAATGTAACAGTACAACACTTGAGTACAAAATGTAAAATGTTCTCTAATAATAATATTGCCTTTTGGGACCCAAGATGGTGGTGGATAAGGTGGAAGCTACACTCACCTCCTCTTAGGACCAAACTGGAATTACAGCTAAGTATAGAAAAATCATCCTGACCAAGCAGCTGAAGACTAGCTGGAGAGAAGTCTTATAACCAAGGACTTACAGAGAAGGCCACACCGAGACTGGCAGGGAGTGCGGAGGTGCAAGACAGCTGGCTGGGCACGCACAGGTAGCAGCCACAGTTTCAGGGGATATATCAGCTTCAGGAGGTTCCCCTGAGAAATATGTGGTCCAAACCCCAAGCCGAGTCCCCATGCCGAGACCACCAGAACTGGGAAAGGTGCCCACATATCAGCTGGTTGTGAAAAGCAGCAGGGTTTCTGTTCCCCAGGGAGAGATGGCTAGAAACATAGGTACTCTCTTAAAGGGCCAGTGCACAGAATTTCATTCGCAGCCACTCACCTTGAGCTTTGGGAGCAGAGGGAGGACAGAGTCGTCTAGAGCTGCATGAGAAGAGTCTAGGGCTGGTCGCTCTGGGGACAGAGCTGAGAGAACAGCTGCCAGGACCCCTGTGTTGAGTCATTCCCTCATACTGCAGACAGCATCATTCTTAGGCAGAGCTTTTCTCACCAGGTAGCATTAGTCTGGGGTAAGCAATAGTCCCACCAACTGGAATCCCTCTTGCCCCACCCTGTGGAGCTTACACCCTGCTAAGAATACAGCCAGAGGCTCATTAAGTGACTGAGAATAACAGACAGCTTACAGGCAGAGGCAGATCTCTGGGTGCTTTGAGCCTTTGCCTGCCCTGCTCCTACGCCTGAGGCTGGTAAAAGCAGACCTTGGTGCATAGCTTGGTTCTTTCCACATGCACCCAGGCCCAGTCACTAACAGTGTCTGACATTGATCTGTACCAGAGTCCCTCCAAGGAGGTCCAGAACCAATTAATACACCCAGTGGCCAGCTTCAGACCACAACAGAGAATAATCCAATAAGCTTCACAAGCAGCATATCCACAGGGAGATACTGGCAGGCACCAAACCCTGCTGAGCAAATCCTGCTTTATGTAATCAGCACCTGCACACTGTGTTGGTGGTTGAGCCTCACTGTCAGCCAGCTTGAGGGTCAAACCCATGCATCAGGCTGATAGCAATCAAGACTCAATTACAACAGAAGGGCCCACAACATGCACAAGAGACATACTTAAGAGCACCTAGTTCTGGTGATCAGGGAGACTGTGCCACTGGATCCCACAGGTCACTACTACATAAGGAAACCCTACCAAGACTGGGAGTCATAGCAGATCTACCTAATACATAAAAACAAACACAAATAGGCAGTCACAATGGGGAAACAAAGAAACATGCCCCAAATGAAAGAACGAGAGAATTCTCCAGATGAAGAGTTAAATGAAATGAGAGGTAAGCAATTTATCAGCTACAGAGTTCAGAGTAATTATTATAAGGATGCTCAACAGCATGAAAAGAGGATATAGAAATCATAAAAAAGGACCAGTCAGAAGTGGAGAATGCCATATCTGAAATAAAGAATACAGTATAAAAAATAAACAGCAGGCTCAATGAAGGATCAAGTCAGTGATTTGGAAGACAAGGTAGAAAAAAATATCCAATTAGAGAAGCAAAAAGAAAAAATATTTTTTAAATGAGGATAGTTTAAGGGACCTTTGGGACAATATGAAATGCAACAACATTCACATCATAGGAATACCAGAAGGAGGAGAGAGAGAGAGCAGGGACTGAGAAACTATTTGAAGAAATAATGTCTGAGCTAGTGAAGGAAAAAGACATACAATGGGCTAAAGATAGTCTGTTTAATAAACGGTGTTGGGAAAATTGAACAGATACATGATTAAATTAAACTAGACCACCTTCTTACACTGCACACAAAAATAAACTTAAAATGGATTAAACACTTACATGTTAGACTCAAAACCATAAAAATCCTAGAAGAAAACAAAGACAGTAAAATCTCGGACATTTATTATAGCAATATTTTTTTATATATCTCCTTGGTCAAGGTAAATAAAAGAAAAAAATAAATGAATGAGACTACATCAACCTAAAAAGTTTTGCACAGCAAAAG